CATTTGGACCCAACTTCTGCACCCATTGTCAGTGCCATCAAACCCGCATTTTTGTCTCTTTTCTACTCATTCAAAATCGACTTTGTGGAACTGGATAAACAATATTGAAGTTGGAAGGCGCAGGTGTATTCGACCCTATTGAGGAAGGTGTCAAGCGTTGGTTTAGGAGGAAATGTTGACCTGCCAAACTGTATTGAGTTCCGCATTTGAGGATTCCCAATGGAAGAATTGAGAATCTTGCTCATGGCTCATTCTGCCATCGTCCGCAATTGTCGGAGACTCTGGCAGATCTTTTGTGGGCTTCCCGCATATTCTCCAAGGTTTCCTTGTGTGTTCCATAGCTCCACTATGTGCCCCCTCATATTGTGCCATACTTCTTATGCCGTACTTCCAAGTATGATTGTCGATGACAGTGTGGATGCCTGTTTTGCGTTCTGGCGGATTGTGAATGGTAGTAAAGTACACAAAGATTGCCCATTGGGTTTTGTGTATGTCGTATTCTGGGTCGTCTTTTGGGCCGGATTTTGGGCCGGAGATAAAAAGTTGAGCGCAAAAAGACTAACAAGGTCCTCGATTTTGAGAGTTGGAGTGTCGGACAAAGCCCTTGTTTGTCGTCTTTGTGGTGACAACGGTGGTCTGAAGTCTGTACAATCGCCATATAGAAATGGAGAATGTAACAAAGGACGTAACGACAAAGAAAAAAATATAAAAATAAGAATGAATTTTTAAAATTATTTTTGAGGTTTATTTTAGTTGAATGAGTATTATAAAACTATAAGTTACTTGAAATATCTACAGGAAGTTGATTTTGACTCGTTATATAATCGGAATCAAACAGTTAGAGGATTTCGAAATCGAAATCCTCGATTGTGTAATCGGACTCGCCTAGGAACTTCTTATCAACAAGTTAGAAAGACACCTAATAGTTTATCCGAATTCTAGTACGAGATATCTATATACAGTAGCTATTAACTTTTAGTATAGATAAGACTTTTAGTTAGAGATTATTAATAACTATATATTATATTTATCTATTGACTTATAATGAGTTCATTTTATACGATGTAATATATCTATATGGAGAGAATAATAGATAAGATATTTCTATTAATGAAACTAAGTATCTAGGTAGTTAATATGAGTAGAACTATTACTTCGATAGAATTCTACTATACTAAACTCAAATAGTGAAGAATTTCAACGAGCATTAATGAGGTCTAGTTTGAATGAAGAATGTCAATAGAAATTAGAAGTCTAGTTCGAGTGAAGAGTTTTCACAAGAGATTCACGAGATCTAGTTCGAGAAGTTTCTCGCGCATTTGATAGTAATGTTAGCGGTGAGATTTATTTAGCTTAGTCTTTTTATCATGCTATTTCTTAGCAAATTTTCTTTCAGTAGTCTGATTATTTCGAGGTCTATTAGAGATAGTATGTGATTTTAGACATTTGAAAATATTGTTTTTATATAAAAAATAATATAATAATATATCTTTTTATATATATATATAGTTCTATATTCATATAGTATACTAAGAGCGAATCACAAGATCACATGATCAAATCACATGATCGTCGCTTAAGAGAGCTCTTAGCCTAGAACGGCCTGAAAATCAATTCTTTATTAGCTCTTTATTAGTTCTTTCAATCCATTCGTAGTAAGATCGACATAGTACTAGCGAAATCGAATAAGGAATAAGAAAGAAAAGCTTTATTTGATGGAATGGCCGGATTAGGAAGAGATCTACGAGAAATAAACGAAAGTGGAAAGCTAGATTAGTAGGAAAAAGCATAAAATAAGGCCTTTTCCCCTCGAATATAGAAAAAGAAAATAAGAATATCATATACTGTTTCATGAAAATCACGTGTTTCATAGCTATTTAGTTGTTAATACGAGCCAGCTTCCCATAATAGACTAATATTAGTCTATTCCCTCTTATATACTATATACTCATATACTAGCTCATGACCTACGATAGAAAATCTTTGATATATTCATCGACTACTACTATAGAACTAAGCATTATAACTATATGAGCTCTCGAAGCTGTTTTATGACTATTGGTCTTAATGACTGCTATCTAGGACCTAGGTAGTAATGGAAACCTTCGACTGAGCCATTTAAATCTTCTAGAACTCGATCGAATAGATCTCTCAACGTCCGTCTAAAGCTTTTCGCCAAGATAGTTTTTTTTTCTTGAAAAAAAAAACCTATAATTAGATTTCGTTTTGAGATTGTGAGCACGTCAGCTGTCAATCCATAGTCAATCAAGTCTTGTACAGAACTAGAACTGAAATTAGCGCCCGAGCTAAAGAACTGATGCCTCGCTTGTGGATACAGCAATACAGCCCTATCCCGCCACATGACTGTACTGAAATTAGCTCTCTATGATTTCAGTAGTATTCCATCGTCTAATTCAAAAGTCCAGGTTGGCTTTAGGATAAGAATTACGACGTAGATACTTTTAAGGCTTCTGATGCATTAGTCGGTGGGTGCAAGTAGGGAGACTTCGAGATCACGCGATACTCTGAAAAATATGATGATCGGATCAATATCTAATTATCATCAAAGTTTAGATATACTGTGATATAATCTATAGCCCGTGGTTGCACAAAGTTTACACGTCTTCTTTGGCGTCCCTAGCAACTCCTAGTTTCTTTAACATTCCAATCTTCCCAATATTTCTGAGCCCAATTATAGTCATAGCCAATGATGCTGCCATACAACCTACGCAGAACCATTCCACAGCCCTCAATCCCGCCAAGAATGCTAGCATCTCGGTCGCCCCTTTGTTCAACTCTTTTGACTGAACAGATTGCTGAATTGCTGATGTAATAGGTAGTGGCATAGATCGCCCAATGGCTGCCATAGTCTGAAACATAGCTCCTGCAACTGATTGATCCTTTCGAGGAAGCAATTGGGTTGTAAATAGACCGAGGCATGGATAGACTGTATCAGCGCCGAATGCTGCAAGTGACATTGCTGGTAATCCGAAAGCGAAGTATGATGTGCTGGAAGGTATTGGTACGGCAAACAGAAGATTGGCAATCATGGCAGAGCCAAGACCAAAACTGAGAATGTAATCGCCATTGATTCGAGCGAGTAAGTATCCGGATCCGAAGGTGGTAAGAACTGTAAAGTTATCAAAAGTTAGAATTATCTCTTGAAAAAGAAGATCTGCAGAACTTACTACCAACTACTCCCAGTGGAATGTACCGAAGTGCAGTTTGTAAAGGATCAAGAAGTTTAAAGTCTTGGTAGCTGAATCCAAATTAGCCCCTGAAATTACGCAATTGGGGGTGAATTAGGACATACTAGTAAGTTGTGTAAAGACAAAAGTTCGTAAAGCCGGACGAGAATAAAGTGATGATAATCATAGCAATCGAGAATTGCTTATGACGAAACGTAGATATTTTCATCAAAGGTTCCTTTGTGGTTTTGGTCTCCCGATAGTGTTCCCATAGAACGAATCCTATTAGTAAACAGCCAGATACGACTATTATTGCAATGACTGAAGCTTCCTGCCATCCAGACGAGCCTCCCTGAGATAAGCCTACGAGTAGTAACAATAGCCCAGAAGTGAATAGGAAAGCCCCAATCCAATCTACTCCCGAAGCGCGCGCTGTATCTTCTTCATTACCTTTAGGTGGCTCCTTTGGAACCACAAAAATCGCACTTACAGCAATAGTAAGTGAAGCACCAGCTATCACAAAGAAGACAACTTTCCAACTCGCCCATTGAGAGATGATCCCACCCTAAATGACGAATTAGATCTGCCAGGGTATTTCCAACAATAGAGAATACGCACCATGAGATTGCCAAGGACTTGGCCCATTGGTGCTCCGCCAGAGTAAAAGGCGAAGCTATAGTTTTTTACTCGACCAGGTGGGATGGTATGCCCTATAATGCCAATCGCTGTAGGAATAGTGATAGCCGATGCGAGTCCGTGCAAAGCCCGCATCACATACAAACAAATCTCAACGGGCGAAAAGGCCGTCGCTATACAAGTTGCAGACGTGAAAAGTGCACCTAGGATAAATAGTAGTTTTCTGCCATACACATCTCCCAGCTTGCCCCATAGGAGCAAGAACGAGCCAGAAGTCAATGCATAAGAAGATAGCACCCATTGTTGCCGAGTTTGAGGAATATTAAGATCTCGAGAGATTTCAGGTAAAATAATGATGACAGCCTGAGCAGCGATTGTCTGGGAAACATTAGATTTTCTTTCAAAAATCCATGAATTTGGTACTTACAACAAGAAACGTTGCCCCTGTTAAGACGATGACCATAGGGGCTACTTGTCGTATCGTCACTTCCTTTTCCGAAAATCGAGTTTCGACCTTCACAACTACCGGCTCATTTGCCGCCTCCTCCAGCATACCCTTCTCAAGTACAACATCCTCAATGGAGAATCTCTGAGGCCCATCGCCATTGATCTGTGATGTATTATCACTTTGAGATATACTTTGCGCCATATCTCATGAACAATGAGTAGGTATCATGTATTGAAGAGAAGTGGCGGTGATAAGCTACATTGTAAATACACTTCTACCCATCTCCCTTGCAAGCACACCACCAGCCCGGCCACTACTTTCACCCCACTTCTGCGCTGCGTCGTATCCCATCAATTGACGACAAAACCTTAAGATTGCCTAAATGTTGGTCTATCAGAGCGCTTGTTCCCTAAAATGGAAACTACTGTGACCAGGAGGAGCGGAAGCGGAAGCGGTAAATACTATGATGGTATTTCCAAGGTTCTTCTTTACCTGGAACTATCATCTCTGGTCGGTGTTCACGATAAAGCCATGCGTTTGTCATGAAATGCGACGTTTAGATAAGAATTCTACAATAACGGCGATGGAAAAATGGGAGAGATTGTTGAAGATTATGCGCCGCTTTAACATGTTAGCGATCACCGTTGGATGACAAAGCAAAACAGTGCTGCATATCTCTCAAAATTTGTGTCTTCAAACTCTCAACAAAGATTTATATATGACATGTGATGTGGTCTTCTTCCTCTAGATCATCTCTCCGATCCTTAAGAAATAATTTTGTAAATCTCCGCTTCAATAGATGCGCTTCAGATTCCCGAAGATTTATTGCTACAATGGGAGAAAGGACCTATGATGTTCGTTTTGTCAAAACATTGCTATATACATGACTTTTTTTCTCACCATCAATTAGGATGCTATCAACGCCTTGAATACACTTCAAACACCATACGAAGTTCTCAAGAAACGATGGGAAGCTGGGATCAAACTCGATGAAGGAGCTAATCGGGAAATGAAACAACATCTGACTCGAATTGGATATACCGTATTCTTCAACCTCCCTTTCTATTTTGCTGTCGCTGACTCACGTCCAGCAAGATGATCTCGAACGATTGAATATTGTTCATGTTGCCGGTACCAAAGGCAAAGGGTCTACGTGTGCCTATGTTGACTCTATATTGAATCGGTATAGAAAGTCACATGATCTTCCCCAAAAGGTTGGACTTTTCACATCACCCCATCTCATCGCTGTCCGGGAAAGAATTCGAGTCAATTCAGCACCTATATCTGCTCCTATGTTTGCAAAATACTTCTTTGAAGTTTGGGATCGTCTGGAAGCAGCTGCGGCGTCCTCGAGCGAACCGTTTGAGAAGCCTGTCTATTTCAGATACCTGAACTTGATGTCTTATCACGTTTTCCTCCAAGAAGGTGTCGATACTGCCATCTATGAAGTTGGAGTTGGAGGCGAATATGATTCGACGAATATTGTGGATCGACCTGCGGTGACGGGTATATCATCATTAGGGATTGATCATGTGTTTACACTAGGAGACACGATTGATAAAATAGCATGGCATAAAGCTGGAATTCAGAAGGCAGGAGTGCCATCATTTACAGTGAATCAAAAGCCAGAAGCGATGGAAGTAGTAGAGAAGAGGGCTGTGGAAAAGGGAGTGAAGTCTTTCAAAGTAGTCGATTTAGATCCAAGACTGACGACGGTGAAAATAAAACCCGCTGCAGATTTTCAGAGGGGGAACGCGAGTCTTGCCATTTGTCTAGCTGAGACAGTTTTAAAGAAACTGGACCCCAAATTCAGTACATCCTTGGATTCTCTACCCCAAGATTTCGTAGACGCCTTGGAGCAAGTAGTCTGGCGTGGAAGATGCGAAACAAAGGTTGACGGAAATGTCACCTGGTATTTGGATGGCGCACATACTGCAGATAGTATCATTGTCGCAGCAAAATGGTTTGGTGATGAGGTCGCAAAGGAGTAAGTTTCATCCCTTGATATTGAGTTCATGGAACTGACCTTCTCTAGGCACGGCCCACGAGTTCTGATTTTCAACCAACAAGGTCATCGTGAAGCAATTGGATTACTTGAAGGACTTCATAGCGCAATCCAAGGATCCGTAAAGTTCGACCATGTAATATTCTGCACAACATCCATTCAAAAAGAAAACGCGTCTAAGAAAGGTAACTATTTATCACCAGCACTACTCAGGTACATACTGACGTCATTAGATTTCGTCAACCTTTCCTACGACCCTAAATCAATATCTGAACTCACTATGCAAAAAGCCTTTGCTGAAAAATGGCGCTCGCTTGATTTTAACCTTGAAACTGATGTACAAGTTCTTCCAAGTGTGGAAGATGCATTTGAATACGTGCGAGGTTTGGCCACGGATGACGTACATGCTCAAGCTCTAATTACGGGGAGTGTGCATTTGGTTGGTAGAGCTCTGGGAAGTTTGGAGTCAGTGGATGCACTGTAAACAATCAAAGGTGGTGAAATTAAATGGTTAAAATGAAGAACCGCGCTGTACCTCAACGTTAAAATCTAAAAGGGGAATGCGGAGGAAGGGAAAAGGGATAACGCGATTCACGAATTTGTATGATGTGTACGATATTGTTCAACCAATATGTTAATTTAGAAATGTTTTAATTATCAGGGCATACTGTCTCTGGAACTACCTACATATAGTTTGCTTTCTCATTGTGAGCCTACCGCCTAGCATTCAATCCACATCAAAAAGTATAGCCAAATACTTCGATGAACATACTAACAATGCCCCTTCATGTAAAACATATTGAAATCATAAATTTCCCACTTTAAGCGCAGTTCTTGTATTGTCTACATCAAGAACGGGTATCAAAACAAACTCCAGTCTTATTCTATTCAGCATTGAAAGAGCTTCTAGATTTTTCGCTCTTTCTTACTTTGCTGTTCAAGAACCTTCATAAGACCACCGACGAGATGCAAACTTCCAGTCACCAGGACGAAAAACCTTTCTTCGTCTTCGGATGCCCTATGCGCAAGCTCTACAGCTTCTTCAATACTTGCATATTCCGTACACATTGGATTCCGATCCAAACCCGAATACAGTTTAGACGCCAATCTCTGTTGGGTGAGATCATTGGTCTCTTTTCCACTTGCCTCGCTCTTAAAAGGGGTATTGGTACAAAAAGCAGCAAATGTGAACGTTTTGAAATAAATGTTTATACTCGCAAGTAATGTTCGAATAAGAGGGTCTGGATCGCGTTCTTGTTGATTGAATATCAACATGGTTTTTGCTGGGAGAGTTCCTTCCGCGCTAGCTTGGACAAGTTTTGAAGCGTACCAAAGGCCAGTCTCCTTGATACTGTCGACCGTGTGAGCACCATCGATGAGCCATGTGATTTTGCCAGTGACCATAACTTCACATCTACCGGCCCATTTGATTGTCTTCAGACCCTCTAAAAATTTATCTGGAATCGGTTGTTGGAGAGATAGTATCGCAGAAGGAGTGGGCACGTCTTCAATACATAGATCTCGCAAATGTGATGCCGAAACAGCCATTGCCAGACTCGCATTGTCCTTCTGAAACTCTCCTTCGGCGCCTAGTATAATAGTTCCATCATCGAACCTCGCACATCGATTCACAACCTTTAATTTGACATCTTTCTCCTTGGCGCGGCTTTCTAGAACAGATTGTGCTTCCTGAAGCTGGGGAACCGTAAAAGATGGAATACCTCGTTTCATGATGCCAGCTTTGTGCCAAGCAATCTTATCAATTGTGTTTCCTAGCATTCCAACGTGATCGATGCCGAGTTTCGTGATCACGGTGGTAGTGACTGCTTCAGCAGGCAGTATATTGGTGCTATCATATTCCCCTCCAATACCGCATTCCATAATGGCGGTTTCCACCCCTTCCTCTATGAATGTATGTAGTGCCATGATTGTGAGATATCGAAAATACCCTGGCTTGGTCTCAGGGGATGTAGGATTTGGATGCGGGGTAGCAGATGCCGAAGCGGCGTCAGAGAATCGATCCCAAAGCTCGAAGAAATACCGCGCAAACAGGGCTTCGGATATGGGGAGGCCATCTATTCGTATTCTTTCACGTACTGACATCAGGTGTGGTGAGGTGTATAGCCCAATCTTCCCCAAAGCCTTTCTTTTAGTACTCCCTGGCACGACTCCGATGTAACTTTCTTCGCTGCGATATTGTCGCAGAATATTATCTACCATAGCGCACACACTTCCCTTCCCTTTTGTTCCAGCTACGTGTATACATTTTAGTCCACGTCTCGAGAAATCCTGCGTGTCATACCCCGCTTTGCGCGTCCATTCGAGCATTTCTGGTATAGCACACAGGTTCATATCTTTTGAGGTACTCGATATGGAGGATACAATCGTTCGATTGGATTGTAAAGTATCCAGGAGTACGATCGCATCCTGATAGCTACGACCTTTGGAAGCCATACTGCTTGAGAATCGAATGTGAAGTTGGAGACTGCGAATGCGCAGGCAAGGTTCAGCTGCTACATTCCGAAGTGCACGGAGAAACATGAGCGATATTGTTTTCTGGGCATCTGAGTGGTGATTTATTTCGATCCATACTATGGTATTTCGCTCCTATGTGTTGTCAACTGATCATTGTGTTTGTTCGTTATCTACAAATTGTCGCAAACACTTTGTTGATTCATAGGGATTCTAGTGTTTCACCGCTTTGGGCAGAAATATTCTGTTGATTGATGAGTGTGTTCAGACTTTGTGTGAACTTTTAGTTTTTGGACTGGCAAAAGAGAGTTGAGCTACATCTTTCAGTAAAATTAAGTACGGCTATGATGATGGCGGATTTGACTTGTATGTCAAGAAGAGGGAAAAGGCTTATATTCTATTACATCGCGAACTACCGAGTACTTAATTGTCAAGTCCGTTCCCGAAAATCCTTCTATACGTGGAAACGGCTGGCCTCTCTCACCATTATGACTGCAATTATCACACACGGAAAATAGAAATCCCTGCTACAGTTTGATCCCGTCACGATCTATATCCTAAAGGTGATTGTTCTAAAATTTCATTGCAGTGCACCATGTGATGTCCCAATTCTTAAAGTCAAGATGAGATAACACTCTACATGCCTGTTAATCATGCCTTCTGCCCTGTTTGTAACTTTTCCTTTGATTGGGCTCGCAGAATGGTCTCTGAATCTGTGCTTTCTGCATCTCTAGTTCGCTTTGGAATTTTGCTACGCTTGGGAGTCAAGATTGAACTTATCTCTTGGTACTTTCATTAAGAAGCAGCAATGGATCGTCTGGACCTGAAATACTTGAACCACCCTTCTGATTTCTTGTTGCATTTGAAGATGGGCAAGTGACATCTCTCTGTTCGTGATCAAAACTCGTCTCTTGGGTTACGGGCCGTTAAAGATACCATTTTCCAGAATCTTCAATCGTTGCCTTTGTCTGTTTCGGAGAGTGAAGCTGATTAGTCGTCGCTATCGCTCTCAAGCAGAAGAACTACCCTCTTTCGGGGACTGAAAATGTTACGTGTCATTCTACGTTTACCAGGAGAGACAATTGCTTCCGACTCATCACCGCTGTCGGATAAAGAAGCAAAGTCTTCAGAAATTTCTAGCGGTTTTCGCCTGGAGGACCTTCGTACACTCGGTGTTCCTGGTAGCACTTCTCCCAACGTATCGCTTTCGCTGCTATCGAGATTTGGGGATGTGTTTTTATCGACCTCACAATCTACAGTTGTGGTTGATTCGTCGACTTCCTCGTCAGTCTCCAACTCCGCTGTTTCATGCTCATCGGAGCTTTCATCTTCATCAGAGCTTTCATCCTGAACTACAAAGCCACCGTCGGATACATACGACTCATCATCGGAAGCGACTCCATCGTCATCCGGCCCTAGTCTCTCGCCAACTGGATTGACAATCATCGGTTTATTCCGCGAAGCAGCTTGTTGTCGTGGCGGTTTTCTCAACTTCCATTCCTCATATTCACGAGCAATGGCTTTGAGTATCGGGGCCCATCGGCAAATTTTTAGGAGCTTTCTCCACTTCCGAGGCTGAGAGTCATATATTGTCCGAAATTCTCTACCCTTGTCCTCCCCAAACCAAATTGGAATTGATCCTGGACTTTTACTTGTGCGCATCTTTTTTGCAATGAGCCATGAATCGTACCTATCTTTTAATTCCTTGAATTTTCGTATCTAATTGAAAATGTTGGCTGACATTTTATGGTTTTCAGCAAAGGATGTATCTTACATTTGATTCTGCTCTGTCTCCATCTCTGTGATAAAAGTTGACGAGGCTCATCACATATCCATCTTCCAATTTGTCTAAAGCAATGCCTTTATGCTTGCCGAACCACATGATTGTCTTGCCGGGGGGCGGGAGTTCGGACGGATTCTTTTCAATCCAGACTTGCTTCCGATCGTACAACGTCTTGAACTCCTTGATCTAAATGGTTGATCGTTAATCCTGATTTATATATTTTAAGTTGAAAACACACATTTGACGAAGCAGTGTCTGGGTTCTCCAGATACTTGTTCACCATCCATTCTATGTACGAAAGAGATAGTTCGTCATATTTGTGCCCTTTGTGCTGCCCGAACCACAATACTTTATCCCCAGGATTTGGGTCCTCGTCCTCATCCCCAAGTTCATCTTCAATATTGGCGGCTGTGCGAGCCATTGCGTCATCGTCGTCACCATCTGTAAGTCCACTATTCTCCCCGTTGTACCGCTCACCAGCAGCTGCATACTCGGAAGCCATCTTTCCGAAATAGTGCTTTGAAGGATGGCAATCTGCTGTTAATCAGTGGTGCCCAATATGTCTTGGAATTTGTAAGTTCAGAATTGCTCGGCAATATGAGCTCGACCCAGGCGGTGATAGAGTCACGATGCTAGAATGTGTATAAAAAATAATGTTGATTTGTTGAGAGATACACAAGCAAAATGTAAAGTAATTCGCAGTGATTGACACCACTTATACTATTTGTTTGGGAGTGGAGACTTGAACGAGTGCTACACTGTAATCTTCAGATAAGGGTGCAGATTTGACTTGGGTAACTCACCCCTGTTCTCTCCACTTACTTTGTTCGGCAGTTGCAAAATACAAAGTATTTTTGGACAGAATTTCTCGAAGTAAACGGGGATCATGAATGAACGCTGGGTTTTCAATACCATATTCTGCCTTGGTAAAGAGAACAAAAGAAACAAGTTCATCAAATTTGTAGCAATAGCCATGAAACAAAAGCTAGAGTTAAAACATGGCGACGCTGTATTGGTGGGGGATTGTTACACGGCAGCGTGGTTACCATCCTAAATGCAAGTGAGCGAGCGGGGAAGAACAGCTGCTGCATTTTGCTGACTGGTCACGTGTCAAGGATGAGAGATAAGGGATTGAGATATGAAGAAAGAGGTGTAGTACCTACTGTTGTATATACTCGGAAATGTTCTAGTAGGGGTGCAACGAAAGAGAATCCGAAATCACGGGGTTTTCCATATATTGCCCAAACGGATCCGATCTTTCGGACTACTATCGGTGCATCTTAAGCATACTACCCATGTTTCAATAGTCTGGATCGCACTAGATCTCAATTGCTTGAAATACTCTAATCAGAATTTACGTCTTGAACAGTGAGCGTCTCTTAATTATCTCTAAATATTGAAGGGGAACAAGACATGAAGCCATATTCGAAGACTTAATGGATAGAACGTCTCGAGGCTGCATTCTGGATGGACTATTGAAAACTCCAGAGGGATTGAACTGAGAAAACGTAGTGGTGGGGAGGATTGTAGAGTACCGGAATGATTCGTATTCAGTATGAAAAGCTATCTACCGTTACCAGAGGCCGTAAATCCAAATGAAGCATCGCCAAGAAAAGAAATCCTCCATGTCTTATCCAACTCTTCGAGGCCCATGAAATAACAACACTGCGTATATCTGTGTCAAATCAAAAGTCACTCCTTCGTGAGCCCTCTCTTTATCAATTCCCATTTCTGGCCAAAGCAGTAGCTCCGCCAGCGACATTGAAACTGTCACCAGTACCATTGACAGAAGGGCCAGCAGAAGCAGAAGTACCATTTGGAGCAACTCTAACAAGACCATGAACCTTTTTCAAATGGTCATTGACTTTGTCTGAACGACAAAGTCCTCTCCCGTAGCTTCGACGACATCCAACAGTAGGGCAGAGGTTCTTTCCTTGAGTTGTCTTGCCGCGTTGATGAACTGACGAGATATGTCGAAGACGATCTGATGGGCGCTTGAAGTCTTGAGCGCAGGTAGGATAGGAGCAGGGATAACGGCCGGTGATTGGATGAGCAGTGGTGGGCAGCGGTGAGGGGGTGGCAGGCGCATTTGCGTTAAGTGAAGGCAGGGGCTCCAAAACAGTCACCGAGGGGGTCTGGTGGTCATGCAGCATGGCACCACACCGCAGGCTGATGGATCAGCAAAAAAAAAAAACTCACCCAACTTCTCTAGCCCCTCTCTGTTCCCATGCAGGGTATTACGGAGATTGGTTGAGAGCTGGAGATATTATTTGATTGACTGGGCTCTCCGTATCAGAAGGGCGTTGTAAGAAGTGGTGGGTCGAGGGAGTTTCGCTGAGGAATTCTTCATTCAAAGGGACTTGCATAGAATGGTTGGCCGTTGGTAACGGCCAGTGATGTGCCGTAAGCTCTACATGGAATGAAAATTGGGCGTTTTCCAGGAAAGGCTCTCCGCTCAAGTGGACTTGATCAGGGTTAGGCATCTGCCAGTTCGTCATAAGCTCTGCATCAAAGAAAGGGTTGATGATCGTGTTGCTCTCGATTCCTCCAGTGAAGAGTTCTTCGCCAGGTAGCGATTGCCATGCATAGTCGGAGTTGGGCATCTCGTATGCAGAATAATCCTGCTGAGAATAATAAGGCATATTTTTGACTGTAAAGAGGGCGATGTGGCTTGAGATTTTGGCCAATAAGAAATTGACAACTTTGAAGTGTGTGTGAAAGGGGCGACGAATAAGATGCGTTGAATGCAAGGCTGTATATTGAGAATGTCAAAATTGGTAGAATAAGTGCGAAAAAAGGATTGAATAGATATGGGAATGAGAGAAGCGTTATATATTCGGAGACTACTCAGATATGATTAGGAGTTGCGCCCTTTTTTCAGGAAACCTTGTGAAAGGTCAGGGCATTAAGATGAGGCTCTACCAGTCCATGATTCGAAGAAAGACTTTACAGTACAGTTGTTCATATAAGGCACTCAGAGATTGAAGCACTCGCTTTTAGATCGATCACTTGCCCGGTCTTTTGAGTCTTGCCTGCCCCAAGTCATGATGCGGATGCCGATAATATGTATTTCCACATATTGCCATCCACCTTTACGGTAAAATGACAAACTGAAATCGGTCATCAATTCGGTACATCATAAATGCTGAACCATGTAAATATGATAGTCTCTCTTATAAGCTCTTAAAATACTTGAATACATTCGAGACTCTCTTCAATTTGAAATAATGTTGTAGCGGCAGTGATCAGATTGTGAGGTTGCTCACACGTGATTTCTGAGCACGGTTCATCTTGAAACATCGAGAGAAAAAAAAGTCAACCTCCTCGACCTGGACTTCCAATCAACAAAAATACTAGAAAAAACAAAAAAATCACACCTCACAAGGAAGATGTGTACTGGACTAGCGGCGAATCGAACGCCGGACCTCTCCCATGCTAAGGGAACATTATACCACTAAACCACAAGCCCTTAACGGTATTCGGTATATCGTTTTCTAGAATATAACCTAATCTCATCTTTCAATCCAGAAATAAAACTTGGTAACGTGACTTATAGTGATCTTGGTCAAATAAATCATGCTTTCTGTAAAGAGGTGTTGTGTTGTAAGAGGATTTGATTCTATTATTTAAAATCTAAAGTTAAGAAGAGAAAGGATGAGGAAAAGTAAAAGGAAAACAAAACGGAAAGGAAAAGGAGAGATGTGAGGTCTGTCTAGATCGCATATATACTGATAATTAAATGATCTTAGAGAGACTGTTGTAAAAGGACTCAATTTTTGACTTAAAATCTAAAGCTAAGAAGAAAGGAAGAATAAAGAGAGGAGGAGAAGGAGAAGGAAAGGGAGAGGGAGAGAGCTCTAGACTATATATAAATGTATATGAGAAGTATCATGTGTGCTACGGATTTATTAGGGTAGTTTGTCATAAATGTTTAATCATCTTTATTCTATATAGGCATACGTCCAGGAAGCCCTCTTCCTTTCCCTCTTCGTAGAATATTATATATCCAACCTCACACCTACCCTTTAGTCCCCTCCGAAGGGATCAAACCTGTGTGCTGTAATAATGTGCCTGCTTATTTCTAATACTTCAGTTATTCTCAATAAAGATTGGCTTTATGATATTGTAGTCAAACAGTTTTTGAATTATATTTAACAAATAGCTTACTTCTAGTAACTTGACTAAGGCTTAATTGCATGACAATTCGATCCCTTTTTGGATTCCCTTTCTTTATCTGATTATCAAGATATATTAGAGGAATATATTACTTGAGCTGTTTCCATCATTTGTTGTTTTTGGTTGCCTTAAAGCCTAAGGCTACAAGAGTTATGGAGTAAGATAATAACTTCTCCAACTATGCAACTTGAACAAGAATTAAGAGAATAGCGATTGTTTTTCATAAAACAGGAATACTAATTAATTGAAAAGATATACCCATCTCTACGAATACCCGCAAATATTGATTTATGATAAAGTATAGCTTTTGATAATTCAATTCCATACTAAAACCAATAACAGAATCAAATCAAATAATTGTAAAATGAACTATTAATGTATTTCACAATCAAAATACACTACAAAACTCTTTGAAGTCATAAACACAACGGAAACACGCCTTTAGTTTTATACATCGTTTTAGAAAACAATAAGCCCAAAGCTTTCTAACCTTCTTCACACCTCGGGATTCAAAACATAATTCGCCATATCTTCTACACCACTCAATTTAAATACAAACCCTCTATCATCTGTATCAATAATGTATTGAATAAACACATATTGAAGTGAAAGAACAAAGAATATTGAAAAAGTGTCCAACCCACTGATAAACCACATTGTAGTAGAGTAAACATATTAATATTACATTAACGCACGTTCACTCGGTATCGGAATTTCGTAGCTACAATTACCTTAATATTCCTCAAGTCTACTCATATTTCATCAACCTTCCTCTTTCCAATCCTCTTTCCAATCCTCTTTCCAATCCTCTTTCCAATCCTCTTTCCAATCCTCTTTCCAATCCTCTTTCCAATCCTCTTTCCAATCCTCTTTCCAATCCTCTTTCCAATCCTCTTTCCAATCGACATGACTACATATCAAGTAAGATAAGACCTGCCAAAGGTTGACTGGCAATCATCACATCTTACAGAACCTGCATCATGATAAACTAGCATGCCCGATGGCATTGTGACACGTAACCGTACATTGATATGGTAAGAGAACGAAAGATATAAGCGCCGAACAATAAGGCAAGCAGTTAAAGCTGTAAAAACAGCGACTGTAAAGGCTTAATCCTGTCAGATATAGACGGCTTTATCAAGAAGTGATGCTTCCAACCTTTTTGAAAGCTGCGATTTGTCAATATATGCCAATTAAGCATGGAGAACATTTCTTCGCGTTTTACAAGGAAATATTTAATAGTCTAATTCGATAACTGTACTACAATATATTTACTCTGCCTACACCCTTATGAAATATCTCATCACCAGAGATTCACTACTTCATTAATTTTATAAAATCAAATACTATCAGTTTGCTATTTCCCTGAGACTACCATCACTTAACCCACATTGCGATAATATGGAAGGTTTAGGAGCAGCTGCAAATATCATCGCTGTAATCGAGCTCTCTGCGAAAATTGCATCGATTTGTTTACAATATTCTCATGCCGTTAAGAAAGCCAAAGCCGACATTGAACGTCTGCAAGGGGAGCTAGATAGATTGAAGATCACGCTTGAAGGCGCACAACAGCTTCTTATGAGCCCAAATTCCAATAGGCTCCACACTTCGCAGCGTTTACATGATGGACTCCGCATCTGCGACTTTCAGCTAAAAAGGCTAGAAACAAGGCTTGAAGAAAATCTCAACATTGGGAAACGGAATAAGGTAATGAGCCGATTTGGAATTCGTTCGCTAAAGTGGCCTTTTGAGAGCACAGAGGTCAACGCAACTATCACAACCTTCAAAAACTATCGGGATGAACTTTCCGCTGCTCTCAGTATCGACCAGACGTAAGCCACAGCTTTCCATTCGGCTTCTGCTGGCTAACATATCCTACAGTACAGAGATTCTTGATATAGGTCAGAAATTCGTCCTTTCCAAATTACCAACCGCGGGGGACGCAGCTTTTGGCTCGTACGCCGATCAGTATGATGCACAATGTCATCCAGAAACTCGAGTAGCTCTTCTCCAGAACATAATGACATGGGCGGAGGATTCTCAAAGCAAATGTGTCTTTTGGCTTAACGGTATGGCAGGTACGGGAAAGTCTACAATATCACGCACAGTAACCCAATCATTTACCGAAAAGGGGGTTCTTGGCGGTAGCTTCTTCTTCAAAAGAGGCGAGGGAAACCGTAGCAACGCAGCTCTACTGTTCACAACTATTGCTGCACAACTCGTTACCAAAGAGCCTATTTTGGCAACATGCATTAGAGATGCTATCGATAACAATCCTGATCTTCCTAGAAAGGCCTTGGAGAAGCAGTTCGAGAAGCTTATTTTGGAGCCTTTAACAATTTTGAATAATGATGCCAAAAAATCGAAGAAGATTGTACTTGTGATTGATGCTCTTGATGAATGCGAGCAAGAAAAGGATATCAAAGTTATCATTAGCTTGTTATCGCAAGCAAGAATGTTGAAGTCGGTACAATTGAGGACTTTTGTGATAAGCAGACCTAAGCTGCCGATTCGGCTTGGCTTCAATAATATTGAAGGGCACTATCAGGATCTATTGCTACACCAAATACCAGTATCAATAATCGAGCATGATATTACAGCTTTTCTATGGTATAATCTATCAAGAATTAGAAATAAATACAACAATTAGTATTCTCAAAACCAGCTTCCATCTAATTGGCCGGAACCCGATATTATTTAAAAGCTTATTCAGATGGCTGTCCCACTCTTTATCTTTGCAGTTACTGTTTGTTGATTTATTGAAGACTCTGCGTGGTCAAACCCTGCTAATCAACTAGCCAAGATCATGAGATATAAAGACATGTACATTGGGGCCGATGGGATTGATGCAACCTACCGCCCGATCCTTGATCAACTACTTATGAAAAGGCTGGACTAGCTAAAAAATCTATTATACAGGACTTCTGCAGCATTATTGGCTCTATTATACTTCTAGTTGAACCTCTCTCAATAGCGTCTCTAGCTAGACTTCTCAATCGTTATGAATCTGACATATATGGCAGGCTTGAATCTCTACATTCCGTCATATGTGTACAACCCTCCGCCGACTTTCCGATTAGGATATTCCATCTATCATTCCGTGATTTCCTCATTGATCCAGATAAGCGCGATACAAATCCGTTTTGGGTGGACGAAAAAGCAGTCCACGAGATGATTGCCACCAGATGTCTAGAGATCTTATCTTCTAATGGCTGTTTGAAGAAGGATATCTGCAACCTATATACGCCCGGAATCACTCATGCGAATATTGATCCTGCAATTATCGATTCATATCTTCCAGCAGACGTTCGCTATGCATGTCTATATTGGGCTTATCATCTTGAACAGAGCGGTGCTTGTATAACAGATAATAGTCAAGCATATACATTCCTCAAAAATCACTTCCTTCACTGGCTTGAAGCATTAAGCTTATTAGGAAAGATATCCGAGAGTATTACTATAATCAAGGGCTTACAAGCTCTTACTAGCGTAAGTTATAATCAAGCGACTTGAAAGCTTTTCACTAATATTATTGATTTAGTTAAATGATCATATTAGAGTTTCCTCCTTTTTGCATGACGCTATTCGATTTATTCTTTATAGCAAAATAGGAATTGAGCAGGCTCCTCTTCAGATTTATTGTTCAGCTCTTGTCTTTGTCCCTGAGGAGAGTATTATTCGAAAAAACATTTCAAGAATATATCCCCAATTAGATTTATAAGATATCAAGAATACAATCAAATTGGAATACTGTCCTTCAAACACTCGAGGGTTATTCGGGTTGGATTCGCTTAGTTGCCTTTTCGCCAGATAGTAAAGTGATAGTTTTCGACTCCGGCGATCAAACGATCTGGCTCTAGGATATTGTAATAAGCAAATTGCTTTAAATACTCGAGGGTTATTCGGATTGGATTTGCTTGGTTGTCTTTTTATTGAATAGTAAAATAATAGCTTCCAATTCCAACGATTAAACAATCTGGTTTTGGAATATTGCAATAGGCGAATCGCTTTAAATATTTGAAAGCTATTCGGGTTCGATTTGATTGGTTGTTTTTTCGCTAAATAGTAAAGTAGTAGTTTTCGGTTTTGACAATCAAACAATCCGGCTCTAGAATATTGCAATAAGCGAATCGCTTTAAGTGTTCGAGGGCTATTCAGACTTGATTTGGTTGGTTGCCTTTTTGCTGGATAATAAAATGATAGCTTTTGGTTTCGGTAATCAAACGATCTGGCTTTGGGATATTGTAACAGGCGAATCGCTTTAAATACTTGAGGGTTATTCGGATTCGGTTTGGTCGGTTATCTTTTCGCTGGATAATAAAATGGTAGCTTCCGGCTCTAACGATCAAATGATCTGGCTCTAGGATATTACAATAAATGAATCGCTTCAAATACTTAAAGGCTATTCGGATTTGGTTTGATCGGTTACTTTTTCATTAGATGGTAAAATGGTAGCTTCTGGCTCTAGCAATCAAACGATCCGGCTCTGGGATGTTGTAACGAGCGAATCGCTTCAAACACTCGAGGGCCATTCGAATTGGGTTCGCTCGATTGCCTTTTCGCTGAATAGTAAAATAATAGTTTCCGATTCCAGTGATCAAATGATCTGGTTCTGGGATATCGCAATAGGCGAATCGCTTCAAACATTTAAGGGCTATTCGGATTCGATTTGGTTGGTTGCCTTTTTGCCGAATAATAAAGTAATAACTTTTGGTTCTAGCGATCAAACAATCTGGCTTTGGGATATCGCAACAAGCGAATCGCTTCAAATACTCGAAAGCTATTCGGATTGGATTTGATCAGTTGTCTTTTCACTAAATAATAAAGTGATAGCTTCTGGCTCCGGTAATTAAACGATCTGGCTTTAGGATATTACAACAAACAAATCGCTTCAAATACTTGAGGGCCATTCGGATTGAGTTTACTCAATTGCCTTTTTGCCAAATAATAAAGTGATAGCTTCCGGTTCTAGCAATCAAACAATCCGGCTCTGGGATGTTGTAACAGGTGAATCGCTTCAAACACTCGAAGGCCATTCGGGTTAAATTTGATTGATTGCCTTTTCGCTAGATAATAAAATGATAGTTTCCAGTTCCGATAATCAAACAATCTGGTTCTGGAATATTGCAATAAGCGAATCGCTTCAAATACTCAAGGGCTATTCGAATCTGGTTTGGTTGGTTACCTTTTCGCTGGATAATAAAGTGATAGCTTCTAATTCTGATAATCAAACAATCCGGTTCTGGGATATTGCAACAAGCGAATCGCTTCAAGTATTCGAGGGCTATTCGGGTTAGATTTGGTCGGTTGTCTTTTCGCCAAATAATAAAGTGATAGCTTCCGGCTCCGACGATCAAACGATCCGGCTCTGGGATATCGCAACGGGTAAATCGCTTTAAGCATTTGAGGGTTATTCAGATTAAAAGGTATCCTCAGTTTTTGAATGCTACTCGATATCAAATCATTGGATAGTTGAAATAATAAATAGAGAAATGCGAAATACGATTTGGCTACCTTCAGACTATCAGCTATCTATTACATTTTGTTATAAGGGAATTATAGCTCTAGGAGTTCCTTTCAGTTGTATTTTCATCTTGAAGCTTGAATATGAAAGTTTTATATCCTTTAGATCAAAACAAGCTTTAATCTAGTTTATTTAATAGTTACTATATCATTATTATCTATAATATAATATTCATTCTTCTTTTCCCCTTTCTTTTTTCCCTCTCTTTAATAGAGAGGTTGGGGAAGTCTGTGATTATATAGACTTTCCATTTGCCATCTCAATTCTAGTATATTCTAATATAATTACATATTATTTTTAATACTGCAAAGAAATATAAGGAATACATTCAGTAGATATAGCTTTGAGCCAATCGTTATTAAAATCGAAGGTCTAAAAGTAAGGGACAAAGAAAATATTGACTGGTGTGGTACAGAAAGAGGGGTAGAATAGGTCACTGCTTGATACACATTCTATGAAATCCTTTCGTCGTAATTTCAACCAATTACAAAACACATTTCAAATCCCTTTTTTATAAGTTAGACAGGATTTTTAAGATCTATATGATAGTCTATAGAATGCCAGGAAAACGTGAAAACAGTTTTAAGTTTTTATGTAAATGTAAATGAATGACTTCAATTCAATGACTACTATACCACTTAAGGGAATGCAAAAAAGACTAGCTCTTTTGTTAGCCCTAATTCCAAGGCCTCCCATTTCCCCTACATAGCCATAATAGCTCTTTAGACAGAATACAACTTTGATATTAAGGACCTACCAAGCTGTAGATGCTATATTATCTATATCTTTATACAAACAATCTTTCATTTGAATAGAGATATGAGTTAAGGAAACAATTATAGATTTGATACTTTGGATTTATGAATATACAATTTGAAATCTGATCATTTACTCGATTGACGATTTAAGTAGTAATAATTAGCCTGAGTTCGATCAAAAGAAGCCATTGAATTTAGTATCCAATCATAAACATTTGTTTGATACTACAAATATTTTCTAAAAGCTTTCATTAATTCAATATCTCATTTTATTTTCCTATAGATTAATAATTACTATCCATCTACAAAAACACTTCAATTCGTTTTCTACCCTATAAATTAAAGCCAGTCTTTAATTATGAAACCCTATTCTTCAACTTAACTAGAAAAACTGCCTAATGACTATTTATCAACTTCCTTTTTCAGCTTGACAATGAAGATCTGCCTTGCTGCGGATTTGAATGCCTGTATACGAACTCCCGTTTTCAGTTTAGCATAAATTAATCCTTGTATTGAGATTACGGAATTCCGGCATCGGATTTTATAAAATATCGTATTTCAAAATACGGTAACGTGGTTTATCAGCATATGGGCCATATCATCATATGGGCCACCTCAAAATACATACAAAATTCGTCTGTGTGTAACCGTGCACCTTCTTTATTTATAAATATAATCTCTCAAAAATTTAATATATGATATTTGATTATAAAAGTATTAAAGATTTCTAATTAGTTTTCGAAAATTCAAATTAATATAAGAGTTATTATTAAAATAGTTTTTTTGTAACGAAAATCGTGACAATTCTGACTTTTTCCAAAATCTAATAAGAATATTCATTAAAAAGATTTATTTATAGAAAGCTAATTTCTTATTATTATTTAATGATCTTTTTTTCCCTCAAAATAATGATTAGTTATTTTATAAAGAATATGAAAAAAACCCTAATTTTGGTGTATTTTCAATGGCCCACATGATGATATGGCCCACATGCTGATAAACCACGTTATTCGGGATTGAGTATCATCAAAACAGTATAACACAGGACCTGTTTACGAAATCCGAGTTCGCTATTTTTCAAGCAGCATTCATTAGGAATGTCACGTTCAAGTAAGGGTGGTTTTATACCATTAAACCACAAGCCCTTAATGGTATTCAGTTTACCGTTTTCTAGAATATAATCTAATATCATCTTTCATTTCAGAAATAAAACTTGATAACATGATTTATATTGATCTTGATCAAATAAATTATGCTTTCTATAAAGAGATATTGTAAGAAGATTTGGTTCTATTATTTAAAATCTAAAGTTAAGAAGAGAAAAGATAAGGGAAAGGAAAAGGGAAACAGATTGGAAAGAAAAAGAAGAGATGTAAGGTCTATCCAGATTGTACATATACTAATAATTAAATGATCTAAAGGACTGTTGTAAAAGAATTCAATTCTTGACTTAGAATCTAAAGTTAAGAAGAAAAGATGAATAGAAAGAGAAGGAGAAGAAGAGAGCTCCGGATTATATATATATATGGGAAATATCACGTACCTGATTATTTCCGACAATTCAGTTAGTCTTCATGAAAACTGGCTTTATGATAGTTAGGAAGTTTTTGAATTATATTCAACAAATAGCTCACTTCTGGTGGCGTGACTGTGGCTCGATTGCGTGACGATTCGATCCCTTTTCTGGTTCCTTTCCTTCACCTGATTATCAAGATATGCTAGATGGACATGTCATGTGATATTATCTCCATGTATATGTTGTTTTAGTTAACGTACCACCGCGAGCAGACCCTTAGATTTACTACCATTTTTATCCCCGTATAACTCAACATGTAATAAAAATTAATAAGACTTTCTATACAGGAATCGTTTATCTAAGTAAGCTCTTTAATCCTCAATCCTAGATTAAATTAAAAGAATCGGTCAAGTATTAGTAACTGTGGACGCGTTTAAAGTTGTGCTAGTACTACAAATATCAGCAACTTCTATAGCAACAGCATGACTTATATAGTTTTAGTTCAAGTTGAGGTCTTCACAAACGTTGGTGTATAGGTTGAAGAGTTTTAAAACGAAAGGGTACAGTGCTTGCATATATAGTTATTGAAAAATCTATATCTGAATCTTTACCCCTCAATCGTACAAAAGAGGTAAGATCCAACGACCCAGTCTATTTACCAACCAGTCATAACAGTACTTACCTGGATCTCACGATTCTGAACCTCTAGTTTATATAATACTGCACTGCACAATACACTGATAACAAACCTAAGTCTAAGCCCGATTAAAGCGTAATCGAGTTCGACCCCCAGATGGACTACACCTTAATTTTACCACAAAAAACAAACAAACAAAAACCTTGGTATTACGTTGTAATACCAGAGGAATAGCGTTAGAGCGACCAGTATAAGCACATGAGAATTGGCCATAGTGCACGGCTTGGTACTCCTTGAATTCACTAACGTCATGGAAATGGTGAGAACACTCTTTGGATCTGTAAATATATATGTTTGATATCGGCCCATGATAGCAGTGGGGAATAGAGGGTTTATCTCTAAACAGGTGTACAAATAACGAACGCCAAAGTCGATGGCTGGCTGAAAAGAGTAGTCTTTATCTCTTCTCTCCGATCTTTCATCAAAACTCCAGAACTTGATATTCATGAACTACGTGCATGAGTCACTCCAAGCTAATCTTGGAGTCAGTGTATCCAGATTCGGTTTCTACCACAGATTTCATGAATTCAGTCCGAAGGCCGGCCGAAACCCGACGCCATTTTTCTTTAACGCTTGAGCTCTTTGTATTCAATAATCTCCATATCGGGCTGACCCGTGAAGACAGCAGTTCCTCCTATCGGCACTTGATCATTCATGATGAAACATCGCTCCTCTTTTCCAAGGTAGACACAGACTACGCCACAGCCCTCCTTCCTGTTCCATAAAGGAAAAGTTGCTATCACAGGACTTTGGCCGTTTGTGTATGGCCCCAATGTCTTTTTGGTTATAGGAAGTGTATAAGTCTGTTTGAGAACGTTGTGAGCATTGAGTGAACGTGTTATTTGCAGTAGGGACTATGGGCAGTGTACCTCTATAGAAAAAGTGACTCCTCCACTAGTAGCAGATATGTTCAGTTCAGAGCCTGTTCAAAGTCGACTTGGTCGAAGTTTAGACACCACAACGGTGATCTGTTCGGTATATTTATTCGTAACCCAAATACAGGGAGGGATTCCATAGCCTGCTTGTAATACTGCACCAAAGAATCCCTGGACAATATATCAGCATCAAATCGACTATAAGAGTTTTATCTGGGCTGGATAATATACCTTTACAGCAGTCTTATCAATCTCTGGCTAACTCTTGAGTGTTTTTGGCTATTCCTTACACTTCTGCAAATCAGGCACCATTTCTCCGGTGCAAGTTCGCGGGTGAAGGGTGAAGGGTATTTTTATAATATCGAAGCAAATAAAAGTAACCTGCTAACAAGATTACCTATAATTCCGCACTTCTCTACATGCAATCTGGAATATCAGATCCTCTAGAGTCGACTTTAATGTTTTGCCACATCCAATCATTCCAGGACTTTCTATATATTGAAGGTTTATGATTTTTTCTGTTACAATGAAAAGGAGAGATTCAGAAATAGCTTCGCAGATAGGAACACTATCTAGCCAGGAAAAAGCCTCGCCTTCAGCTTCACCTTGCCTGTTTTGCCTATAGATATAGGTTGACTGCCCTTCAATCTCAATGCCGCCAGGATTGTCCACATTGATTAGAAAGATCTGACCAGCGATATTGATATCGAAGATGTTAACGTATAAAGTGCGGCCTCCCTATTATCCAGCCAGATACAAGCCTTCTCATCCTCAGAGATGTGTGACTCTCTATTTGAAAGAATTGCTTGTTGATTATCTAACACTACAACTTAAAAATATAGTTTAAGATCGTGCAAAAGCCTCTCCTTAACATTTGATCTTAGGCCCCAAAACAGCTTTACTTGTATTAGTTTTTTGGCAGCATATACAATCTCATCCGTTTGGTCGAAAAGCGAATAAAATGCCTTGATACCAATCCCATCTTTGTCGTACAAAAAGGCACCATCTTCTTCGAATCGCACAGAGAGTATCCTTTCCAACTCGTCTTGCATTCCGACTCATAGAAACTTGGAACTCTCAATAGCCTTGTTCAAGTTGATCATCTCTATCGGTATGTTTATTGGTGATAGCTGTAATGCTCTTTCGATCAAGATCGTAACCCCATGCTCTGATAATGTTTCTCTATTTCCCATCTCGGTGATGTTGCCTATTGAATCGAAGACATCTACACTCGAAAGCTTTGCTTTTGCAACCCATGGAGCTTTCGATTCGTGGCTGTGC